CTTTTCCCAAGAATAACGGTCAGAAGAATTGCTTGGCGAAAACTGAGTCCCCCATGAAAAGAAGCACACTAACAGGAAGTCAAAGGACAGATCAGCGCTAACACTGAGCTCTTATACTTCTATGGTCAATCATTAGTATTTACTTTCATTTACTTATTGTTATTTTTGAGACAATCTCTCTGAGTAGCCCAAACTTGCCTTGACCTAAGGAGCCAGCCTGGCCACCGACTTCGGCGGCTATCAGCTTACCTCAGCCTCCCTAGAGGAGGAATGACAGGCACGTGCCACCACCCAGCAACATCTAACATTAACTGTTAAATCTATTTTTGTTATTCTCACCCAAGTCAACAAGGGCAACATTTTGTAAGGCTATGTGATCTTTTAAAAGACAAATCAGTGGCAGAACTATTTCTAGAAACCAGATGGTCTGTCTTTCTGCCCGACACCACGGCTTTTTTCCGTGTACTGGGACAAGGCTGTAAAGCCGCACCACCGGCCCGACAGGGCAAAGAGGAGGACCCGCCTTCGCCCATTCGTCGCTGGCTTGTGGTGCACAGAGCAAGAGAAAGGCCAGGCCTCCCCGAACCTCCACTTTCCCACGCAGGCGCCCTGGGGCTGGCTCCCACCTCCTCACCTGCTAGCCACAGTAGCGACGAAAGGCGCCCACAGCCCCACCCCTTTTTTGGTTAATTCTTTAATGGGCGGTCGCAGGTTCCCGAGATGGGCGGAGCCTTCACCGGCAGCCATTCTAATTGGCCCACAGGCTGGCGCGGTGCGTGATGCCGTACCTACTCTGTCACTGCGTTTAGGGCGTGGTCTCGGCTCAGGGCGCCTCAAGGAGACTTGGGGACGCCCTAACCACTCCTTTTGAGTGCCCGGGTGCAGCTGCCAGCGCGTGAGTCTGCTGCGCTCCATGAGGAAGATGCTCGCCGCTGTGTCCCGCGTGTTGGCAGGCGCTGCGCAGAAGCCAGTGAGGCTGGGGTGGGGCTCGAGCCGGCCTGAGGCGGGGCGGGAGGAGGGCGGGCCGGACCCCCCCCCCCCCCCCCCCCCCCCGGAGCGCACGGCCGGGTGCCGGGGGTGACGAGCTACGGAGCTCGCGTGGGCCTTCTGCGAGGTGCGTGTCGTCACGGCCTGAGGCGGAGGGGCTTGAGAACCGCCCGGTCCACCGCACCTCCCCCAATCCCCACGGGTGGAGCTTCTCGCTGGCTCCCCAGCAGCGCCCCAGAACCGTCCGCTGCTTATGGGACGCCGGGAGGCGGAGCTTGGGCTTGCTCCAGCCTCCATGGACTCCGGTGACTTGCACTGTCCTCCTTGTCATAGCTCGTGGCCAAGTGGCCACGTAAGACGAAATAAAGAACTCGCAGTCCCAGTAGCCGGATGATCCGTGCACAGCCCAACTTCATCATTTACTAGTATCGAGTCCTTGCCAACAAGGAGAAAAGAGTTTTGTTTTTTTTTCAATCGTCCCAGGGCCCAATTTCCTCATCTCAGTCCTGAGTAGGAGAGTGGCACGTGTGCCAACCTTTCTGCCTGGCATTTGGCACGTACGGGTGCCCAGCTGGGTGAGCATTTGTGGATCACCTGTGCTCGCTCGGTCCTGAGCAGGGTTCAGACGGGGTCAGGCTCAAGGCAAACAAACTTCCTCTACTCCCTGCTCATCTGAGGTTTTTTTTGGCAGTCAGTTTTAGAGCAATCGAGCATAACCCAGAGGAAGCCGCCTTTACCCTTAAACACACAGAGGCTTAGAGTTCAAAGTAGCGAAAGAAAATAGCAATGGTTCTCGGAGGGTAGGGATTAGAGGTTACGACTTAACTTATGGCCCGGGTTTTGAGAGGTGTCTGAACACCTAAGCTTTTAGCATTTTGACCTCTAGCCGCCCAGAGGTTGCGTTTTCTTGGTGTAACTGCCACCAGGCTTTGACTTGTAATTCTGGTTCTATCGATTTCTTCTGAATTTGATGCAGTTCTGCTTAGTTTGGGGAGGTTGTGGGAAGGTTAAAGGTGTACTTCTCTAGGAATTCAGTAAAAGAAAAACACCTTTTGATTGAGTAAATGCTGTATTCCTGTTTGAATCTGAATCGACAGTACAGCACACTTCTTAATGTGTCTTTGCATATGTGTATGGCATTTCCTGAGCTTTTATAGTATGTGTCCTGAATTCGGCCAGAATCTTCACAGGTGTTCAAACTGCATTCCTAAATTTTAATTGGTTTGAACAAGTTTCTTTTTTTTCCGTTTATTTATTTATTAAAGATTTCTGCCTCCTCCGCGCCACCGCCTTCCATTTCCCTCCCCCTCCCCCAATCAAGTTCCCCTCCCTTGTCGGCCCATAGAGCTCTCAGGGTTCCCTGCCCAGTGGGAAGTCCAAGGACCACCCACCTCCATCCAGGTCTAGTATTGAACAAGTTTGTTGTGTGTAGAAATAGTTAAAGGGGAATTTCTTTATACCTTGGAGATTGGGCATGAAATAAAGTTGAAAACTAAAAGAAGCTTTGTTTCCCTCAGTGGAAAAGGGAAGAGCCAGTTCTTAACTAAATCAGAGTTTGAAGAAGTTGAAGTAGAATCTGAAATCAATAAAAATTCTACCTTCCACTTTTAAGACATGTGCTCCGTCCTCTTTTGGAGTCTAGAGAGCAATGGGAGATGGGAAACCCCCTTAAATCTTTGTTAGACGCTACACACTAACCTTAGGTGTATTTCTTTGTCTGAAAGTCAAGTTTACCATTTCCTTTAATCGCCTTACAGCAGGAAAAAAAATTGAATTCTAGAGTCGAATTCACCATAGAAAGAACCCTGTTATTTTCTCACTTGGTGGTGGTATTGTGTAAACTCTCCAGTAGTAGCTAGTTTTTGAATTTTTCTTCTTTTGAGACAAGGTCTTTTGCTATGTATCCTAGACTGGCCTCGAACTCAGATCTGCTTACATCCTCTACCTCCTGACTGCTTGCATTAAAATCTTGTGTCCCCACATCCGGCATGCTAAGGGTGGGGAACAGCTTGACCTGTCTTTGTCTCTTTCTCTAAGGGGCTCACTGTGTAGCTCTGGCTAGCCTCCAATCACAGAGATCAGCCTGCCTTTGCCTTCTGAGTGCTGGGATCAAAGACGAGCACCATTATGCCTGGCAATTTTCTTTGTGAGCATACTTGTTACATGCTAATTAGGAACCAGTCCTGAAGCCTTTCATAATGTTGAAAACTTAAATTTCACCTTTCATCTCCAAGTAGACCTCTAAACTCCAATGTGTCCTTTTAGAGTTTGTAATTCTAAGGAAATGCAGATTTCTCTTTTATTGCAGCCTGTGTAATACAACATAGCTCGTTTTTAGTTTTTCATGTTATACATGTGAAAAGACTTTTAAATGTAATTTAAGCCTTGCAAAAATACCCTTACAAACAGTAAGCAGTGGCTCATTAAACTTGTATAACTAGTGCTGCAGTGGCCAAGGATCCTCTGTGGGAGAATGAAGGATTAGGCGTTTGCTTTTTGATAGCTAAGATAATGTGCCTAGTTAATCCCCTAACTTCCTCTGAGGCCTCTGCCTGTTTTGTGCCTTTGCTCTTTTTATTAATTATTTCCCCCTTAAAAATTAGGCAAGTGTGAAGATTTACCTCAGGCTTAAAGTTTGCCTGTCTCTTCACTGTTTGGATGTGCAACTTTGAAATGGATTACAAAAATGTGGTTTTACTTTGAAATGAGGTTGAAAGCTTTCAAAGCTTTTTAAGACTGAGCTGCATTTAAAATTTTTATTTTGCCTTATTGCTTGTATTTGTTATGCTCCCTTTTGTGAGATTTTTACCACCAATAACTTTTTTGCCTTTGCATATTGGAGGTAAGGTTTTTAATTCATGTTGGTACATTCTGAGAGTTCTTAAATACTTTTGAAAATTCTGTATTTAGATACTTACAAGTTTTTATTGAATAAGTTGTTCAAGGTCTCCAAGAAAGAAATTTCATTAGGGGCTGAAGTGTAGCTCAAAAGATAGAGCATTTACATAGTATATGTAAGGTCATGTGTTCGATTCCCAGTATCCCACTCCCCACAAAAGAAAACCCAACAAGAATTCCATTTAAGCAGAATTCTTTTTGTTTGGTGTCCTGTCCCGTCCCGTCCCCCCCCCCCACTGAATTTTGCTGTTACTGCCATGGCTAACCTGGAACTCACTTTGTAGACCAGGCTGATTTCACAGAGATCCTCCTGCCTCTGCCTCCGGAATGTTGGGATTAAAGGTGTACGCCAACACGCCTGGCTTTATAATTTTTACCTTGAGAATTTATCTTTGCTACCAACTCCTGGGTGGGTTGTGAAAAAAAAAAGGAATAAAAAGGAAAGGTCATGACTGCTCCTTGGTATGGTGGACTACGGGAAAGTTTATTGTAGATTTGTGGGACAGCATAGTCAGAAGCAGGGATGTCTGGGAGAGTCCAGAGTGGACATGACCAGACTGAGCTGTACCATGTGGGAGAGGGGGAACCAAGTGCAGCTGCCAGGAGGCCAAAGATACAAAAAGGAGAAGTGTAACCACAGTGTCTGGATTATATAGGGAAGAGCCTCTGGGGGAAGGGCAGTCCAGCTCCTGGGTGAGAGAGTTCTGGGTAGGGAGTGCTGTGGACTGAGGAATGCTGGGATAACCTGGCAGGTCCAGCTTTGATATGTTAAATAGGCACCTCAGCTTTGGTGGGGGTAGTCTCTGCCCTAGATTGTTCCCCAAACTAGTTTCTGTAGTTGTATCCAGAAACTTACTTTGCAATAGAGTAGCTATTTCTGGCTCCACAAATAATTATTTGTTTGCTACTTGATTGGCTTCAGGTTTAGGGTTTGTTTTTTTTTTTACATTTTTCTTCATTTTAAGATAGCTAACACATGCTCTGTACCTCTGATTTATCTGAAGGATCCGTTACTGGTATTTAGAGTTTTCCTTGGGTAGTGCCTTTGCCTTTGTTGGCTTTATCGGATAATAATACAGCAGTTGCCATATTGTGCCCCTCCCCACCTTGTGTCCATGGCTTTGCAAATTTCCATGGTTTCAGCTACCTGTTATAAGGTGTGGTTTGAAAAGTTCCAGAAAGAAATAATTCATGAATTTTTTAAGCTCTGTGCTATTCTGACTAGAATGACACAATCTTCCATTGTCCAGATTAGGATGTAAATAATCCCTTTGGCCAGGTGTCCACTCTGTCTACTCCACCCACCCAGTTGTTCATCACCAGGAGTCATCTTGACTATCATCAGACCAGCTGTCACAGCACTCACACTGAAGTAAGTGTGAGCAGTGGTTTTAGGCTTCTACTGAGGGTCTATAAACTAAATCCTGTCTATAGATGGAGGCTACCACATGCCTGTAATTCCAGCATTGGGAGGTGGAGGCGACAGAAAAGAGCAGGAGAGAGATAAGTAGGTCTTAAATCTGCCTGTTGGGTCCTAAACTTGGAGGTTATAGCTAGAGTGCTGACATTAACTCCTCACCAAGGTCAAGTTCAGTGCTGCAAAATATATTGGGTTACACATTGAACATTCTTTTTTATGGGATCTCCAGGAAAAGAAATGATGTGAGTTTACATGTAAGTATGTGAAAATGTGGCAGCCAGTGGTTAGAATAGAAGAACTGTTTTTGTGGTCTATCACTTAGAATGTTTTTGTTGTACTTGAATTTGTTCAGTTGTGAGGGTAGAAAGGAATCAGTAACTCTTAAGTAGTAATAACCACTCAAACCAGTCAGGGGAATACTGTTTTAAGAGAACATTCTTCTGTTATGGGGCTCTAACAGGAGACTTCTCAAAATTTAGACTGCACAAGTTATATAGTGGTTGGCCCAAGTCCATGATTTTTGACATGTTTTTCACTAAGGTATTTATGTCATGATTTGAATGGTTTTTTTTTTCCGTCATGGTTATATGTCATAGAAAAGTAGCTTGCCCTAAATAGGGATTAACATAGTTTTATTTGAAGTATTTTCAAATAAACCTTAAAAAGCCCACACAATCTAGTTTCTTCGATTTGACCATTGTTATTGTTCTCACTGTAATTGCTTTGAAAACAAAATGGAAAGTGGATAGACTTGGTATTTGCCACCTTCCTTTTTTGCTTTCAGATAGTGATGAGTCTGTGTTCAAAATCCATGCTTTCTTTAAGCATGGATTCATGATAGTAATGACTTATTCTGGACAGTTAAAAAACAGAAGTAATGAATTATTTGCATATTTCTGTGTTCTAGGCAAGCAGAGTGCTAGTAGCTTCCTGTAATTTTGCAAATGATGCTACATTTGAGATTAAGGTAAGAGTGTTTCACTTTGTGCTTCTAGTTTTTTCACAGGTACTGATACAGTTTCACTTTAAGGAGTTGATACTGGCGCTGTGAAGGTAGGGTTACTTTCTTTAAAATATTCTAGAACCAAGGGTTCAGAGAAGTTTAGCAATAGTAACTTGCTGGCAGTTTAAAGGATGCAGGCTTTAAAAATAAACTCCAACAGGGTTGTTCAACCTTTTCACATTCTGACATGTTGTCACCTACAAATACGTTGGGTTGACCTGATAGCTATCCTGGCAAATAGACCTTCTTTTTTTTTTTTTTTTTTTTTTTTTTTTTTTTTTTTTTTTTTTTGGTTTTTCGAGACAGGGTTTCTCTGTGGTTTTGGAGCCTGTCCTGGCACTAGCTCTTGTATACCAGGCTGGTCTCGAACTCACAGAGATCCGCCTGCCTCTGCCTCCCGAGTGCTGGGATTAAAGGCGTGCGCCACCACCGCCCGGCCAAATAGACCTTCTTGAGCCAGAGATTGGATGTACCTTTAGTAGGGGGTGGGATTTAGTGAAACATTGATGACCATAAATTTAAGCAATCAGAAGCATTTTGAAACACTGTTTTTCTTTTAGAAGCAGTTTCATGGAGCCTCAGTTAATCCCAAACTTCCTATCTAGCAAAGAATAACCTTGAACTCTTATTCCTCCTGCTCTCACCTTTCAAGTGATGGGATCAAGGCTTTCTCAGACATTATTCTTGAAGCACCGATGAGGCATGCATTTCTTTGCTGTAGTTCAAGTTGTGTATTATTTGTGTGGAGTTGGATCTTAGAATGCATCAGCAGTATTAGTGGAGTAGTAACTGGAGGGTGACTACCTTATTTCAGAAATGTGACCTTCATCGGCTAGAAGAGGGCCCTCCAGTCACCACAGTGCTCACCAGAGAGGATGGGCTCAAGTACTACAGGATGATGCAGACTGTGCGGCGAATGGAGCTAAAGGCAGATCAGCTATATAAACAGAAAATTATCCGTGGTTTCTGTCACTTGTGTGATGGTCAGGTAAGTGGTAAGTTTGTTAGAAAGCTATGCATGTTATTAGGATACTTAAATAGGTTTCTTTCTTTATGCCTTCTTTCCCCTGTCACCTCTTTTCTTTGCCTTCATCTTAGGCTTTTAGAATTTCAAAACCACCATTTATTGTGTGTGTGTGTGTGTGTGTGTGTGTGTGTGTGGCGGGGGTATTTATGTGCCACCCTGTGTGTGAGTATGTATGTGTGGTGGGGGGGAGGTCAGAGGACAGGTTGCAGAATTTGGTTCTTCCTCTACCATATGGGTTCCAGGCTTGATAGCAACCTCCTTTAACTCACTGAGTTCTTTCTTACTGTCTAAGCTGGCTTGAAACCCCTGAACCTTGATAGTGCTGCCTCATTCCCCAGAATGCTGCGATTATAAGCATGAGCCACCACACTTAGCTTTAAGTATGGTTTCTGTTTATTGGTTTTCACCCTGCTTCTTGGGTCAGAAGGATTTGAAATAGGGATTTCAAAATAAAACTAGAATGCTAGGACCCACTGTGAATTGTAGGCATAAGAATTTATTCACGGGGCTGGAGAGATGGCTCAGAGGGTAAGAGCACTGGCTGCTCTTCCAGAGGTCCCGAGTTCAATTCCCAGCAACCACATGGTGGCTCACAACCATCTGTAATGAGACCTGGTGCCTTCCTTGCCAGCAGTACATTGTATACTTAATAAATAAATCTTGAAAAAAAAAAGAATTTATTCACACTTAGCATTTCTGAATTTTATATCTGTTCTTAGAATTTTACTTTTAAAATTTGCTGGAACCCCACACATCTATGCTTTATGCATTCTTGGGGAAAGGGCTATTTTGTTGTTTTATGAGTGTGAGTGTGTGTTGTATGTGTGTGAGAGAAAGAGAGAGAGGGAGAGAGTGTGTTCCATTTGTGACAAAATAGCCAACAGAAGCAACATAAGGAAGTGTTTATTTTAGCTCACAGCTTGAAGGTACAGTCCATCTTGGTGGGGAAGGCATGGCTGTAGGAGCTGAGTTACCTGGTCACATGAATGTGCAGTCAGGAAGCAGAGATGTGAATGCTGCCGCTTACCTTGCTTTCTCTTTTTTTATTTAGTCTGGGATCCTAGGCTATGGGATGCTGCCATCCACATGTAGAGGTGGGTCTTCCCACTTCTGCCCAAGAAATTTCCTCATAGACATGCCCAGAGCTTTGTCTTCTAGGTGATTCTAGAACTTTTTAAGTTGACAGTAACTGATTCCAAATTTAGCAGTCTACAGAACTAGCTAGGTAGAATAAATGAGTGAAGTCAGTTATATATAACAATATGAACAACGGTAAGCTGGATCAGTGCGGAGTTGGGATGGTTAGGCCCCATCCAGAGATGCCACGACTTGGTTTCAGTCAGTTACTTCCATGTGGAAACACAGACCTAAGACTTCTTTGGTGTGCATGCATTCTATCAATTTTTTAATGTTGGCATCTGACTGGCAAATTATATTTTTAAATTCTGTCCAGACTAAAGGAAACAGTACATTTGTGGATTGGTTAGGGCTTCTGATTTAGACCTTACCCTTTTCTTTTAATGAAAAATACTTTTTTGGAGTTACTAATGACAGGTTCACTGATCCATGTGTGGTTTTGAAATTATTTATTTATTTATTTTGTTTTATGGTCTGTTTTGGTTTTTTGAGACAGAGTTTCTTTGTAGCTCTGGCTGTTCTGGAACTCACTCTAGACCAGGCTGGTCTCGAACTCACAGAGATCCACCTGCTTCTGCCTCCTGAGTGCTGGGATTAAAGGCGTGTGCCACCACTGACCAGCTTGATCCATGATTTTTAAATTATTGAATCTAATAGAAGTTCTTTATTCAAATATAAATAATGGCATTGCTTCGTGGTTCTTCCTTTACTCCAGGAAGCCTGCTGTGTGGGCCTAGAGGCTGGCATAAACCCCACGGACCATCTCATCACAGCCTATCGAGCTCATGGCTTCACCTTCACTCGGGGCCTGCCTGTCCGAGCAATTCTTGCAGAGCTAACAGGTTTGCTGTGGATTTACAGGGAAGGGATATAGTAAGTGGGGGAAGTTTTCAAATATCTTCCATTAAGTTGCTAAGCATTATGAATTAGTGGTAAAAATCTTAGAACTTTCGTTTTTGAAACAATCAAGCCTTCTGGTATGTATCCTGGTACCTCTGTTGTGACTTTGAGTAAACCATTTATGAGGTCATCTGGACCCTCAGGTGAAATTGGAAAATAAGATTTGCTTTCACTAAAACATGAGAAATCTAACAGAGAAAGTAAATTGGGTTGAAGTACTTTGAAATGTAGGCGGATTCTAGATAATGTGTGTACTTCCTCTAAACCTAGTGTCAAAAATACTTTGCTAACATCTGAAGGTAACAAGCGTTTAGAAAACAGGCACCATTGGATTAGTCTATCCTTATCACAGACACGGAGATGAGGAGGTGTGTTTTCCTGGAGGGACAGACAATTGGATTGGGTGGTGGTTATTGCTTTGTGTGGTTGTTTTTATTTATGCTTGGTGTGTGTGCTGCCATTTCTAGGACGAAGAGGAGGTTGTGCTAAAGGGAAAGGCGGATCGATGCACATGTACGCCAAGAACTTCTATGGGGGCAATGGCATCGTTGGAGCTCAGGTAACTGAGGAAGAGCACATGCTTTGATACATTTGATCCTGGCCTGTGTCTTCAGGACCTTCTTCACTCCAGAGAACTTCTGTAATTTCAGAGGATTTCAGTAATTTGGGAGTTTGGTTTGTCTTTACTTACTGCCTTTTATCTTCCCATCTGAGGAATTAAGTAGATTTGGGTAGTGATTTAAGGTTTGTTTTTGTTCTGTTTGAGTAAGAGCCTATAGTGGTGGAGCTATCCCTTCATCTTTTTATATTTCAGTAAAATCAATGGCTCATCACTTCAACTTCACTCACTCTGACATACTCATAGGCAGTGCTAGCAATGGGATCCAATTACAAGTGAGGGGCTTGTTAAAGTGACAGCCTAAGAAAAAAAGCAAAAACCTTACTTTCATGAATAGGAAGTCCTTGTTCTCATCAATTAATGAGAAGTGAAGTATTAACAGCATCAACAATATCCACTACAGTAGATTTTATTATATATCTAGGCTTCGTTTTTTTTTATCTTGTTGTGATCAGTAGTTAAATCTTTGGGTGCAGAAATCAGAAATAATATAGAATTTATTCATGTTTTGTTCAAAATAACAGGGTAGGTAGGGGGCTGGAGAGATGGCTCAGTGGTTAAGAGCATTGCCTGCTCTTCAAAGGTCCTGAGTTCAATTCCCAGCAACCACATGGTGGCTCACAAAATAACAGGGTAGGTAGATAGTGACAGGGTTAGGAATGAAGACTTGCAGCACTAGTTTAGCTTCCCATATTCTCCAGGCATTGAAATTTAAATGCATTCTAACTCAGATTAATTTGTACAGTTTTCTTGGTTGTTCTTTATGTTAGGTGCCCCTAGGAGCAGGGATTGCTCTGGCCTGCAAATACAATGGAAAAGATGAGGTCTGTTTGACATTATATGGCGATGGCGCTGCTAATCAGGTAAGTGCATCTCTTAATTTCCAGAAACAATTACTTTAATGTTCAAGTTGTGACTGGCCATATTTGGATTTATAAAGAAATGGCATATTGTTTATTAATTGAAATAGCGTTTCATGTGGCTGACTCACATGGGAGATTAACCTCTTGACATGAGCCTTCTAAGGGTACATTTCTGTGATGATGTGTCTCTTTGCGTTACATTTATGCTTTGCAAATATGCTCTGTGGTGGGAGATTTTTTTTGTAATTTCTCTTTAAAAGATCTACTTATTTCTAGTTTTGCCTGCATGTGTGTTTGTGCACTGCATGTGTGCCTGGTGCCAATGGAGGTCAGAAGGTCCCCTGGAACTGGGGTTAAGGACAGTTGTGAGCTGCCATGTGGGCACTGGGAACTTAACTTAGGTCCTCTACAAGAGCAGCAAGTGATCTTTATAGCTGAGCCATAGGTCCAGCCTTGTTGGCTAAATGTAGACCATTACAAACCAATAGTGTGATCCAGAGACTCTTCACTTGGACTCAAATGCAATACCAGATTCCTATGTCTGAACCTTGGCTCTTGGTTTCTTTGCTCATCCTGTCTTGGTCTCAGTGTAATCACCAGCCTCTGGACAGCACTTAGTGAGACCCTGTCCTGGATGCCGAATCTCAGATGCTGCTGGTTCACTCTGATTATCGGTCAATTGAGTGTGACAGATTAATAGCAGAGCGTAAAACTAATTGGTAACTTGGTGCTTTTCCATGTTCCTCTTTGCAGTGTGTTCTATTTTAGTAGATCCCCCAAAATGTATACTAGTCATACAGTACACACCACGTTTCCCTACCATAGCAGCATGTGCTCCTTTCCCTCACCACCAGAAACTTGGTTATAAAGATGAGGCTGTTTGGCCTTAGTGTAAGCTCTCTGTGTTAGGCAGTGCAACAACTATTAGGAATGGTGAAAAAGTCTAGAGAAATAAATTAAACCACTTGCATTTTATATAATGCTTTTAGGGTCAAATATTTGAAGCTTACAATATGGCAGCATTGTGGAAACTACCTTGTATTTTCATCTGTGAGAATAACCGCTATGGCATGGGGACATCTGTCGAGAGAGCAGTGGCCAGCACAGATTACTACAAAAGAGGAGATTTTATTCCTGGACTGAGGGTAAGGTTCCTTATTGTAGAGGCAGAACCATACCCTATCTGCTAGATGTTCTACAGTTTCGTCACATTATGCTTGAATAGGTCATTAAAAGTTGAATGGGAGGGCAGGAGGTGTGGCTTAGTGGCAGAACACTTGCCTAGCACGAGTTATGTCCTAGGTTCCATTCTTCAGCACCACAATAAAAGTTAAATGGATCTGGATAGTTCATTTACATTCTGCCCATCCCCCATTTATTAACAGGTAGATGGAATGGATATCTTGTGTGTCCGAGAGGCAACAAAGTTTGCAGCTGCATATTGTAGGTCTGGTAAGGTAAGATGAGATTTTTTTCATAGGCTTTTAGGTTACAGGTTTATAATGACATTCACTTCAGTTAAAAGAAGCCTTTCCAGATGGCGGTTGGAGCTATCCTGGGGTAATGACTAAGTGAGCTCTCTGAAACAAGCAGAGTCCAATGAGATAGCATAATCTTGACTCACCTAGTAAACACTCCATATTTCTCTATTCTTGCATTTCCTTGGCATTTTGCCTCTGTCTTCACTTTGACATTAATTTGAAAACCTCTTTTTGTCTTTTGGCTTGGTTAATTATATGTTCCCACCCCTCTGTTAATCATAAGCCCCTTGAATGATCAAACTTTGGATCTCCACAGTGCTTAATTTTACTTAGACTGCATTTGAATGCCTATTATATATCTTGCCAGTGTGTGGCAGGGAGGGAGAGGGAACAGTGAGACTGGCTTAAAAGGAGCTTCAAGTAGCTAAGTTTAACTGGTTGTTCTAAGCCCGGAAAACATGCCTCTGCAGTTTACTTTTGTTAAAATTGAGAAGGAAGAAACATGGCATAAATTGGTGTTAAGAATCAGTCTGGGTGGTGCATGCCTTTAATCTCAGCACTCAGGGAGGCAGAGGCAGCGAATCTCTTGAGTTTGAGGCAGTTCCAGGACAGCCAGAGCTGTTACACAGAGAAATGCTGTCTCAAAAAAAAAAAAGAAAGAAAAAGTCAACCAGTAAACTCTTGACAACTCAGCTGATACATAGAAGGTGGGTAAGAATGTATTGGATGTCGCGGTGTGTGTGTGTGTGTGTGTGTGTGTGTGTCTCCATTTGAGGCAACAATTCTTGGCACATATCTTTGTAGCCTTAACCATTTATGGCTCTATTTTAGGGGCCCATCCTGATGGAGCTACAGACTTACCGTTACCATGGACATAGTATGAGTGACCCTGGAGTCAGGTAAAGTTCATGGGGTATCTTGATTGTGGTTCCCATGGTGGCTGGGAAGGCTTTGGGCTACTTAAATCAAACAGTAGAGGAACCTCTTCATTGGCTCTTAACAACCAAATAAAATTGTTTTGTTGGCTTCAAGTGGTTGTTTTGAGGCTTAGTCTGAAAGCAGCTTGAAGATCCCTACAATGTATCCTATATGTTGTATCCTGTATGTTAGCATGAATATGAGCAGTCATTTAAAAAAGAACATTATGTAACTAAATTGCAGTGTGGAACTGTCAATGTAAGGCAGATGAGAGAATTATTTTAGGTGTCATTTAGTTTATGTGGGCATCACCCCAAATTCAGGCATGGCAAATTCTACTTGGAGAGGACTGAGATTTGAAAGTCTCACTGGTAGGGAGCAAGGCTAACTGCTACATGAAAAGTTTAAGTTGTTCCTTTCTTTTAGCTCTAGCATGTAATGATGAATTAGTAGACTTGACAGTTTAGAAGTGGTCAGTTTAGTCGAACTTTAGTTCAGCCCTTGTAGAATGGACCAAGGTAGTAGCTCTCAACAACACTTTCACAGGGGTCACGTGCCAGATAGTTACGTTATGGTTCTTAACAGTAGCAAAATTAGTTATGAGGTGGCCATGAAGATAATGTTCACCACAACAAAGCATGAAGATAATGTTCACCACAACATGAGGAACTTTATTAAAGAGTTACAGCATTAGGAAAGTTGTTACAGCATTAGGAAAGTTGAGAACCACTGGACTCAGGGAAACAATCAGAAACTTGGTGTGTTTAGGATTTTGCTGGTCATGCTGCTTTGGGGTCTTAGTGAGAAAGGCAAGGTGTAGTTATTTCCTGCTTGGTATGATGCTTCAGGAGGAAGACCTGGTCAGTCATCCTCATCAACTTAGACCATGAAACCCCATACATGCTTCAGCATTGCCAGGGCATAAGTTTCATTCATTCATGATGCTTCAAAAGTCTAGAATTATCACCACTGCCAGCTCTTCCTTGCTCCATCCATGTAAAAAAAAGTGAGGCTAAATGTGTAAAACTGGTGACCCTCTCTTCCAGGTCAAAGAAGCAAATACTTGGTCCTTGTTAGAATGCCAGTAAAACCCCAAGTTACAGTGAATAGCTTTCTATAAAAGATGCCTACCACCCTAACTAGTCTCACAGTGACATCAGTATTAGCTTGTTCCTTCCTCTCTTTCAAAAATATACTCTTATACTTCACAAAGTTCTCAGGCACTGTTCTTAAGGGTCTATCACCGCATCTCCCTTCCCCATAGTTACCGCACTCGAGAAGAAATCCAGGAAGTAAGAAGTAAGAGCGACCCTATTATGCTTCTCAAGGATAGAATGGTGAACAGCAATCTTGCAAGTGTTGAAGAATTAAAGGTACAGTTGCTCTTGGAGGTTTAAGTCTGGTTTTAAAGGTAGGTTCACTGACTAATTTCCCACACCTCACAAAATGTCACTCCTAGGTGGCCAGAAAGTTGAGTTTTTTTCAAACCCAGAAAGCATTCTGATGAGGTTATTGTTGAATCTGAAGTCTCACAGGGCTATTGGTTTTGGTCTTTCTGCTGAGAATTAAAGAGATGCAGGGCAGGGGATATGACTTGGTTGGTAAAGTGCTTGCCGCAGAAGTATGAGGATATGAGTCTGGATTCCCAGCACCCACATCTAGTGGGCACAGTGGTGCATGTGTACAACTCTAGCTCTGGATTAGAAAGAGGTGAAGACAAATGCTTTGAGTGTGCTGGCCAACTGGTGAGTTCTGTGCTCAATGATAGATATCCTGTCTCAAAAAAAGAAAGTAGAGTAATAGACATTCGTACAAAAACTTTTGTTTCCGCCCCCTTTTTCCCTAAAAATGTCCTTTGCATGTGTAATTTATATACTGTCTTTAAGTGGTGAAGAGTCACATATTATATAGTAACAGGTTCTCAGACTTTCTAGTTGGTTCCAAAGCTGCCTTTGATTGAAAAAATCTCTTGCATTGTTTAGGAGATTGATGTGGAAGTGAGGAAAGAAATCGAAGATGCTGCCCAGTTTGCTACAGCTGATCCAGAGCCACCCTTGGAGGAACTAGGCTATCACATCTACAGTAGTGATCCTCCCTTTGAAGTGCGTGGTGCCAACCAATGGATCAAGTTTAAGTCAGTCAGTTAATGGGAAACTGAAATGAATGAGGGTTCATCATCCACTGTAAGAACTCTTTGTGCTTTCAACTTTAAGGACAGGAAATACCCAAAGTCTTGAAGACATGTAAATTAAGGAAGAGTAAGTTGCATGCAGTTTCTATGTTGTATGCAGTGTATCCATGTGAATAAGAGTGTAATGATTTGTATAGGATTTGAAATGGATAGTGGAGTGTTTATACCTTTTCCTCATCATATCCTACCACAGATATGTCGAGGTGGCATGCTGGAATTAGTACACTGCACAGGTAGAAGAGTAGCAGCCACCCTGCATTGTGGAGGCTGTCATCTGTTAGCACTGACCAAGTCTCTGTGATCAAAGGCTATTATATAATCAGGCATTTCAAAGATAAAATAATTTAATTTTCATTTAACAAACATGAACTTGTATTCCCACTGCAAGGCACACTGTTTTTTACCTTTCACATTTAAGAATTATGCTTTTTCTTTCCAGCAGTTACTATAAGGTATGCTGACTTTTTAAATTAAGTACAGTCCTAAGAATTCAATATACTAGATCATGTTTGATGTTACATACAATCCTGTTTATGAACAAGGATGGTCTAAAATTATACATGCTGGAATTTCTATGTAAACACAGGATTTGTGTGTACACGAACAGAAGCTTTGACCATAAGCAGGTGTTAGGGTATTTGCTTATTCTTTCGAGCTTGGCTCAGTGTGAGGACTCCTGCATTTGTCTTCTGTGCTGGGAGACTGCATGCCAGAGCCTACAGAGGACACCACCGCTGCAAAATAGGAGTTTTCATAAGAAAAGCAAATTTGAAAACAGCCACCTCACAAATAGGGGAATCAAGCATTCAATCTACAGGATTACATTTGCCAGATAAATACTCTTTCAAAATATAATCTAACTTATTAAAGTGTTTTCTTTGTCTGAACCTGGTGCCATAGGAATGTTGGTGGCTCTGTGTAGAGGTGTGGGCATTTAAACAAGAGTGGAAGATAATTTAAGATCAGAGGAAGCTACCACCATTTTGTTTTTCTACTTCACTAAGACCTTCCAAGACTCAAACTATTTGGAAGCTCTTACCGTAATCTAAGGCACCTTAGGTCTTCCTTAGTAATGTCATTGAGAATATCAGAAAGTGTATAATCTTCTTCAACAATCTGAAACAATGATTCAGTTTATGAGATAAGCAGCTTTTCAACAACATCATAGGAATATTTGATTTAGAAATTTACCTTTTCTATTGTATTTGCATCCACTCCTTGTAGTTGCAACCAGTCTATAAGCTCTCTGTCTGTTCCCAGTTCATCAGGGGGTGCTGGATTCTCTGTACCACCTATAATGATTCCAATTTTGTTTTATTGTATAGTAATGTATAACCATAAACTACTTCGAAAGTAACAAAGTGGATGTAATGACATAACCAAACAGAATGTAAATGTGATGTGAAAAGGAAATAAACTTTTCTGACTCAGCTACTTTTACGATTCTTGGGTCCCTTTCCAGAGAGTAAAATCATCTCTATCTATATCTACACTGAAACTCAAGTGTTAAGATTTGGTGGCATAGCTTTATGTCCAGTTCTTTATCCCAAGAGCTACTTTTATGCTTTAAGGGGCAGATTTGAGAGTCATTCTAATTTAGGTATCCTCTGTGACACAAAATCGTGGGACTGTCATAGTCAAGACACCTTTTTTTACCCTTCTGGGCTCTTCCCTGTCCATCATGATTTCTGTCCAGTTTTGCCTCTTCTAAAATACCAACTAGAATCAGTATACTATATGGTAACCTCAGCCATTTCTTCAAGGTGTTAAGTCAGAGTTTAGTAGTTTGTCCCTCTTTGACACCTATATCAGAGCAAAGGGAAAATGACTCACCATTGGATTTGTATTTTAACTGAAGATGATGTAATTCTTGAGTTTTCTGTTCTAGAGTTAGCTGTAGAAGATTCTGGCACTCTCTTTCTTTTTGAACTAGGTGTTCCCAAAGTCTGTTTTTTAAAAAACAACACCCATCATTCATAAAGTATTCACATTCAATTCAAACATCTGTTAAACATCAGGTATTGGATAAACAAAGAAAAAGACACAATCTAAACCCAAGCAGTGGGGCCCCAAAGAGAAGCTTGCGTAGGAGAAATGTGTTTTTCATCTCCTTGATGCCAAAGGCCCAGTACTGAGAGTGTGGGTATATTTTTGCAATGGAGCCAGTGATTGTATCCCTCTTGAAATGCATGTTAAATGGTAGTGTAAGAGGCCTTGTGAGTGTACAACCGTCTATGTACCCTCACCTTGACCTTAGACTTGCGAGTGTACAGCCGTCTATGTACCCTCACCTTGACCTTAGACTTGCGAGTGTACAGCCGTCTATGTACCCTCACCTTGATCTTAGACTTTGAAGTCTGCAGAGCTGTGAGAATTGAAGTTTTGCTTATTTTATTAGAGCAGCCTCCTGGACAAAGACAGTTTTGTTTCAAAATGTATCAGGGAACCAAAAAAAAATGAATTTCCCATTGATCATTAGTACTTGGCCAGAAGGAGCACCTAATTATTCAAACCAAGTCGGATAAAGTAGCTGACTCTAGGATGGACAGCCTTCTTTCTGCACTCATTAGTAGCCAAAGCAAGAGTAGTATTTTGACAAGAATAGCCAGGGGACCAAGCATGGCCCGTGCAAGCTGCAGCTGCATGAGGGGAATGCTGCTAGCAATCACTAACACCGAGGACTGCCCATAGTGCATCTAAACCTTAGGACACACAATTCTTAGGAAGTAAACATTCTTTTCCAAGCCATTTCTTTAAGCAATTTACTCTGTCTCTGGTGGGGTCTTCCTTATCTTCTGCCATTTAGTCTTACTCATGGTGTCCCTGAGACATGAAAGGCATGACTTGATACAGTTAAGCCTCAAGCTTCTGGATCGCCCCATGCTAGCTCATTAACAGCAGAAGGGAACAGAGCTGGAAGTCAGAACCATGGCTAACTTTCATTTGCTCATGTATCTAATAATAAACAAGATTATTTTAAACTAATCAAAAAGGCATGCCATGTGGTTATCTACTGGTAAACAAATGACTGCAGGACTAAGCTTTAAATTACTGGAGTTAGTTATTGATACTGCCCGAGAGGGCGCAGCCATAATATAAATAGATGAAAACAGTTTTGGGGTCATTTGTTAGCAAATGGAGTGGGAGAGGTGGATACTTCTACCCCAGCAAGACCACAAGGAGATCATACTAGTACTCAACAAGTAAAATTTTTTCTCACCTCTGCCCTACCTGCCTTCATCTGTCTCAAGAAGCTCCTCTTTGAGCACATCAAGTAGCTTGAGCTTTTAATGGGAATGATTCCCATTTTTGTTTATGCCACACCCTGAGGATAAGCAGTCTGTGTATTTATTTTATTTTGGTTCTTTTTTGTTTGTTTTTTTGTTTTTCAAGGCAGGGTTTCTCTGTGGTTTTGGAGCCTGTCCTGGAACTAGCTCTTGTAGACCAGGCTGGTCTCGAACTCACAGAGATCCGCCTGCCTCCCAAGTGCTGGGATTAAATGCGTGCGCCACCACCGCCCGGCCAGGCAGTGTATTTATTAACTACTAACTGAGTTAACACTGAGTTGGATAATTAAAATCTTTCTGCAAGACATTTTGAAGAAATGTATTACTATCAACTTTTTTGTACTTGTCATCATTTTAAAACTCCCGAGTTTTTGCCATCATGATTATTTAAACTCCAGGCCTTAAAAATATCTAAGATCAAACTTCCCCTAAGGGTTATTTGTGTACATCTTTTTATCCAAAAGTGTGTGCCCAGTACCTAATCTCCCCATTCAGACAGCACTGCCACAAGCAACAATGTGACGTTTGGAGCAAACACCATCTAGTTTACTATAGCTGTGGCTGGTGTTTTTAAAAAGCTTATTGATTCTCCAGAGCAAAGGGGAATTGTGTTACTCGTTTACAAGGTTGGAAAGGCAATCTACTAATGCCTGCCTAGGGATCCTAACAAGTGACCGGGAAGGCTTGGAATAGGGCTACAGGATATACCACTACCTACAAATTGCTACATTGCCCCCACTCCCCCAGCTGCTTCTGTGGGGACAGGCTATAGCTGTTCATTGCTGGACCACATACCATGCCAGAGGTGCCATCGTGAAGCCAAACTTCAGATGGTGCTGCTTGCTGCTTTTGGTATGGCAGATTTGTGTGTGACCTGTGACGACGCACTGTACTGATTCCTGGCATTGAGAGAATGGAGGCCTTTGTGCACTTGGAAATGTACCCTTGCTCCAGTTCACGGACAGTGAATATACATTTCCCCAAGACCTAGATAAAGTTGTCAACTGTGACCAGAGGATCTTGTATAAGGTGTGTGAGATCCTGACCTGTTGGTCTCTTGCCTGAGCTTGCTTAGTTGGAGGCTTGGTTCCTGCTGCTGGGGCTGGCCCTCTTCGATAGCAACTGAGCCAGGTCTGATACCTCTGGGTGCCATATGCACTTCTTGGCCAAGCAGGTCTACAAAGGGATAATTCCCTCCCACTTCTGTGTCCTTGTCCACCCCTTTGGCCTCAGAGGCAGGCTCAAAGTGGGCTTGGAGCTCTGAAAACAGACCAAGGCACAGAACAGCACTCAATAAGACAATTCATTGCATTGCACTGCTTGCTGTGTGAGGACACTAGTGACTAAAGAGATGATTTGATTGGACTCTCTGCAGTGTAACTATGTTCTGAGTTTACACAAGAGAAAAATGACAATGAATGGCTACAAACAGGCTTGGGCTCTGCTTGGTTCCTGTTCCAAGAAGCACTTGGGAGATCAGGCAGAAGTGAGCAGCCAGGCCCAGTGTGAAGGAAGGAAGGGAGAGCAATAATTCTAAAGCCTGCCTTCTTCAGGCAAAGTACCACAGGAGAAGCAAGCTGAGCAGTAAGTTTGTGCTAACATTTCAAAAAGGAAGCCTCTTAAGATTGGGCTCTACATAGCACAGAGATACAGCATGTACTTCAGAGTTTGTTCCCCAGAATGAACATGCACATACATACAGCAAGATCTGTAGCCAGTGAAGGATGCTTCTGAAGAAACAGGCATGTAATTATCAATTATCTGATAAGCATGGGTGAACATGCACACTGAGGAGGCTGTATGATCACTGGAGGATCCCTGCCTTCAAACTGACTCCTTGTTAAGATCAAAAGTATACTTTGTACACAGTCACCTTCATTATGCCCAGGAGGTAAGTAAATAGGACATTAAGAGATGTTATCACAGACTTTTAGTCCCAGAAAGATCTATGACAGCATTTACTTAACTGTGGGGAAGTATAAAACCAAAATGGAAACAGAATTGGGTGTTTGAGG